ATTTTCGACTGTGGATGTGGACTTAGACCAATGTTAGTCTTTTGATTGTTTTTGTTAATTTAATCTTCATTGTTATTGATTACGTTATTTACAATTATTTGCACAAAAACGCCCCAATCATTGTACGAAGCATAAAATATTGAATTACATACTCTTCGTGAGATCGACCCTTACTTCCACTACTACATTAGTTTTAGAGATTAAGAAATTACTTTTGGGTGCCTTTGACAGTACACACCACCTATAAAAATACATTTAGTATTTTTACCATCAAACTACTTCCTTTTCTCAGCTAGTATATGGGCATTTGCTACACACCCAAAAACTCGAAGAGTTTCAACATTCGGCTTATAGCTGCTCCATGCTTCCTCAGGTGTTTTATTAAGAACATTCTTTGTCGGAAATAGCACAAGATACGGCTTCTGCCCAAAAACCTTTTGGTAAGTTTTTACCTTTCAACATATTGCATGCCGTTTCGACAATTGTTCTGTTTTTCCTCTCCGATATCCCATTTTGCTGTTGCGAGTAGCTTGCAGTAAGCTGGTGCTTAATTCCATGATTTTTACAAAAATCAACAAAAGCATAAGAAGTGTACTCTCCTCCTCTGTCTGTTCGAAAACACCTCAAAGTCAACCCACTTTATTTTTCCACCTAGGCTTTGAATTCTTTGAATAGTCCAAAAGCTTCAGACTTTTGCTTCAAAAAATATACCCAAGTTTTCCTACTGCAATCATCAATGAAAGTAAGAAAGTAACGATTACCTCCATGTGATTCAGTCTCCATTGGTCCACAAATGTCAGAATGCACAAACTATAATTGTTGCTTTGCTCTACATGACTTCTCCACTGGAAGAGTCCATGTGTTGCTTGCCCAGAATACAGCCTTCACACAAATGATTAGAATCTTCTAACAATGGTAACCCAATAACCATTTCCTTCTTTGCCAATACCCTCAAGCCATTAAAATTTAAATGACCAAAACAAAAGTGCCAAAGCCAATTTCTATCCATAACAATAGCACTAAAAGAATGAATTATTTCACTCTGTAAAGGTAAAGGAAACATTCGATTTTTGGTCATCTTAACCTCTGCAACAAGCTCTTTTTTAATGTTCTCGATAGTGCAAACTCCTTTATCAATGATAATTTTAAGTCCCTTTTCAGAGAGTTGACCCATACTCAATAAATTCCAGTGTAAACTAAGAACATAAAATACATCAGAGATATGCTCATGAGAACCATCTTTCAAACGTATGAGAACATTACCTTTGCCCATAATTGAAACTTTGGCTCTCTTTCCAAAATTTACCTTCCCACACACCGATTCATCCATGTAAGAGAAAAAATCCTTCTTTCCACACATGTGATTACTATACCCGGTATCTAAATACCATTCATCATGATGTTCTTTTTCTGAAGAGCTGCAAGCTAACAACAAGGTTTCTTTTTCTTGGACATAATTAGCGTAGTTAGCATGTTCATAATTTCTTTTTGGAAATTGAACTCTACACTGTGATCGATAATGCCCAAACTTCTTACACTGAAAACATTGAATTTTGGACGGGTTTTTTGGTTCAACCGGCAACCCGACCCGTCTTCATCATCCAAAACCCGAACCCAACCAAAAAAATGAAAAAAACCGAACCAAACCGTCCTGTTCGGGCCGGGTCGGGTTGGGTTGGGTTGGGTGGGTTGAGCGGGTTTTTGCCCAGCCCTAACAGTGCCTACAAATATGCTATACAGACTTATTCAAAACAAGACTTGGTCACCATAGTTTGAGTTTAATCAAATTCCAACAGATCCCCACCCCAAACAGCCAAACCAGATTCCCCATCCCCAAATAGCTAAAAAACCAATTTGAGAAACATCAAACACTTGAAAAAGAAAATCAGCAAAAGTGAAAGAAATTACTAATTGAATGTATGTGAACAACAATAGATATATCCAATTCACAGAAAATTTCAGGTGGTAACTGGTGCGATTACCGTTTGGAGACCGAAGCACGGGGCGACACAACGGAAGGTTGAAATGGCGGCCGTGTAGTTTCAATTCAAATATTCAATAGAACGATTGTGATTTAGGTCTGGTAAAAAGTTCTTTTATTAAATGGGCTCCAAAATTTTGTTATATTTGGGCTGGGATTAATTTAATTTTGGAACCGGGC